CTGGAAATCAGGAAAAACGTCCTCACTGCCAGGGTGGCCAAACACTGGAATGAATTACCGGGAGGTCTTGGAATCTCCATCCCTGGAGACATTTAAGAAGAGGTTGGATAGAGACCTGTCAGGGATGGTCTGTGGTGCTTGGCCCTGCCCCGAGGGCTGGGGACTGGACTCAATGACCTCTCGAGGTCCCTTCCAGGGCAAGTATCCCATGGTGCTATGATAACTGACACTGCATGCAGCAAAGGCATTTCTAGGTCAGCCTGGTGACACACAATTAGCGCTCCAGTAATATTCCTTTGCTTGAATCCCTATTTAACAGTCACCAAAGCAGACCCTGGGTGATCCTGCTGTTAGCTAGTATTAGTGGCAGTAATACTACGCAAATGGTAAACCGGAGCAGTCATTAAATTGTTACAGTTACTGTATTTTCACCCTACCTGGAAGGTTTTATTCCAGGGTTTCTTTTATTTTAACAGTTCTCCATGGTAATGATGCTCAAATACTATCATTACTCTTGCTAAGAAGAGCTCCTAGATCCCGATATTGTGTGTGGTAGAAGAACACGCACAGCTTAAGTATTGGTTGTCCTGTCCTGGTCCTGCAGATGTTTACATGTGGACTTAGTTTAAGTCATGTGAGTGTGTAAAGTTCATCAAACACGCATACGGGGTGTATTTTGAAGCCTGTGCCTAGATCTTTGCAGGATTAACCCTAATCCTAACTTGGTGCTGCCTGTAACCCTTCAGCTATCTGTCCTAGTTGCAGAGGTCTCCTGCAGCCTTTGCTCAATAGTCTGGTGTTTTATGCCTTTTACAGAATCATGATTCCATTTTCATATACCATGATTAGTTAAACCTCAGCCTCCCTTAACACCTTCCAGACCCCCTTGTCCAGTAGTGACCCTGTTCCTCTGCCACCCTAAGCCTCATCGTTCCCTTCACCAACTAGGTGAATCTTGCTACCCAGATTCCCCTCCCCTCCAGGGCTCTTGGGAAGAGATCCTCCTGGTCCATGTAGCTGTGGTCTCTAAGATTGAATGCTGGAGGTCATCCTAGCAGATTTATAGTGACCAGGGCAAACTTTCAGGTGTTCACTCTCCTTCGTGTGGCCTGCCTGGTGCTGACAGGCACTTTGGGAAGGCTGTTTTGTCTCTCCTCTGCTGAGTAATTGGCTGGATGGGAGGGAAGGGAAGTACCTGTTTGCAGCTGCCTGTCAGCAAGAGGGATGGTTTTTTATGCAATGTGGAGAAGTCAGGAGGCAATCCGGAAGTTGCCATGTGAGCCAGAAATTCTTCTCCATAAAGGCCTGTAAATGATGTCTGATTTCCTAGCAGAAAAGTAAATGATCTTCCTGTCTGTAACTCATTGCCTTACATGGGTTTTTTTTTCTCCCTAAGCATCTTGGGCTAAGCCACATGAATTTAGGAATTACTCAACTTTCTCTTCCCACACAAATACTTAGGAGTCAGTAGCATCTTAATCTAGGAGTCATGGACCAATAATCATGTGTTGCAATAATGTGTTTAGTGCACTCTAGGGTATTATTTTGCACTAGCCTCTCGGTGCCTCAATTTCTTCACCTCTTTAAAGAGATAATAAGCCCTTCCTTGCCTTCTTGAGGGAAGGGTAGCAATGAAGGGGCTAGTGGGAAGCTTAGGTAACTAATGTGTATGCTGTCAGGCATTGTGGTTGATCCCCAACAGCAGGAAAGTGACAAGAAGTTTAT